AAAAAAAAAAAAAAGTAACTACCATTCTACAAATGTGCATCCTATAGGGAAAGATGGGGGACAAGGAAACATCTCAACGTATTTTAGTGTTTATTTATTAAGCTAAGTAGTGGGCATGAATGTTCATGATCTTATGTCTATACCAGTGACTGAACTTTTTAGAGCTTTCAGTGATACAAATGGCCAACTGAGGCACATGTGCTGTAGGTTCATCACCACTGTGCTATACTGTTCTATGTATCTGAAGTAGCGGGGAGGAGAGAAGATTAAAATTCGTACATAGTCCTCATGTCAAAAATTAACCTCCAATAGCAAGTTCTTAACTTTGCCAGCCCCTAAGCTGGCTTTGAGATCGAAATCACTAAAGGCTTTGCCTTTCTGCCCAAAGTACATACTTCTTCAATTACTTCCACGAGTTTGCTCTTGAGATTTTCCAGCTCAATGGCTAATATCTTCTTTTCCTCCTGAACAGATACAATTTGATCTCGAAGTTCTGCATTTTTTCAAGAAAAATAAAGAAATAAATAGAAATAAGCTTATTTTTAAAAAAAGAAATCCATCTGCTCAAAAGAATTGAAAATGCCAGCCCATGCGTAGCTTATGATCAAGGTTACTTAACAGAAGGACAATGAAGAACTGAAAGATGACAGGAACCTCACTTATGTGCCACCTACCCCATGGAGTCATGGTTATTAATAATTTTATACCAGGCAATCTCACCATGTTAAATGAACCAGATCAAGTTTGCTTTGCAATCTATCAAATCCACATTCTAGAAAACTATCTGGCATTTGAGAAGTAAAAATTTCAAGCTTTCAATAAAACAAATTAAGGCATTGTACTAATTTCTTTTTTATTTCATAATGGCTATAGGCTCTTGTCACAATACAATATAAACAAACAATGGGCAGTTAATAATTTGGAGATTTTGATTTGAAGAAAAAATCCTGAGTTGCTGCCAATTTATAGCCCTTACACATTATTTGAACTGACTCAAAAATATATAGAAGGGTTAATTCCAGTAATTTTCTCTCCAGAGTTGTGGGTGTTTTGTTTCTTAATTTATTTCTATTTTTATTATTGGAAAATTTAATGAAAAATGTGTTGCTAGAATGAAAATATTAGCAACTATAAATACAAAAGGTTCTGGTGTTAAAGTTACCTCTGTCACTCAAATGTTTAAAAATAAACATGGATTAGCATGGACTACTTAAATTTATACCCAGGCTCACTGTTTTGCCACTTCGTTTTGAAATGCTTTTAATTTCCTACCTTTCTCCAGGGCAGTCAGTAACCTGCAATGTGGTTATTTATAAATTGAATTAAACTTTTTACACAAACCCAGCTTGAAGAAGTTCTCAAAGACTTAGTTTTAAAGCATTTTCTCCACTGGCTGACTAATTCCAAAAGGAAGAACATGAGACCATATTGTTCAAGACCTGACAGAAGGAAGCAGAATGAACAAAAGGAAATCCTTTAAACTTCCTCTCCCTCCCAACCAGAATAAATTCTATTTTGTCCTGGTTTAAGGAGTTGAAGAGCTGGATAAAGTTGAGTAACAGCTTTTTTTTATACTATCAACTAAAATTTTATGTACCATATAAACTAGTAAGTACTACTTCTGAATGAGTACTAAGTCAAAAATGTTCCAAGTTATGGAGCCAAAACATCTTTTACATATGCAACATACATATATGTACATAAATAAAATTAATGTGCACTGAACAGATGTGTTATATAATCTTGCCCTACAGCACTACTTGTCTGCCACCAGTTGTTAAATACTGAATACTGCTTGCAGTCCAATCAGATGGACTACTCTTGAAGGACAGATCTTCCCTCCGAAGATTCCAGTAGAGAACCAAACCAAAAAAAAGGGGGG